GTATGGGCGGGGGGGGATGCTCAGGGTGCAGGCAGGGGGTACCTACAGGCTGTGTAGTGGCAGGGGGGCTCCCAGTACAACTCACAGCTTCAGGGGGCAGGGCGTTGGAGCTCCCAGCTTAAGCCTCCCGACTGCTCCGGGATTTGGGGATGGGGGGGACCACGCTGCCTTCTGACTGCCCGCTGCTCCCGGCTTTGGGGATGGGGGGAACTGCCAGCTTCAGTTCCATGGCACTCCCGGCCATGGCGGGGGGGGGCCCTGGATTCAGCTCTGCGATGCTCCCGAGAGACACATTTTAACCAGACAATAATATTCAGCAGATGATGACTTTTTCTATGATATCTCACAAGACATACTTTGTACATTTATCATTTTCTAAACGTGATCATAATAGTGTAGACCAGTGGCTCTCAAATGTGTTTCATCACCCCCCCTTCCATGTGTCTGTGGTCATTTATGCCCCCACCCTCACAAGCACATATATCGCCACCCAGCTCTAACGGCAGAGTAGTTGCTGGTGATGCGCCCAGCTCTGAAGGACTCCAATAGCAGCCCAGAAGTTGGGGTGGCCACGTGAAAAGACTTATCACCCCATTGCCACCCTTCTGTGCTGCTGCTCCATCTGGGTTCGAGAGCCTGAGCATTTATCCCCACCTCCCAGATAGGCCTGTTCCTTCTTCATGAGCCCCAGCCACCCAGGGCCGACAGCCAGTGCTCTTTAAAAAAAACCAACCAACCCACACTGATCATGCCTCCCTTGACACATTCCTGTGCCTCCACTGGGATGCTCTGCCCACAGTTTAAGAATTGCTAGTGTAGAGAGTCACCATGGGGACTGGTAGCCAAGCTGGTAACACCAGCTCCTTTCCGTCTCCGGGATCCCCAGAGAAAATGTCCGAGCAGGAGAGCGGAACAGATCCCATTGACATTAACCTTGTAAAACACATTTTGGTCATTTCAGCTATAAACATTCCCTCCATCCTTCAGCCCCTACCCCCAGCGAATTCAATGAGACTGAGCTAGAATTGGGCAGGTGGCATGGGAAACGGGTATAATCTCTGACTTACTGATCCCTGAATTAACAGAATACAGGAACCCTTGGGATAAATTGTTAACCTCTAACAAGTTATAGCTAAACATAGACCACTACAATTACCCCTCTTCTTCCAAATCTTTAACAATACATGTTTACATTTCAAACTCTAGATTATCTAAGGTGGGGACACTTTTAAAATATCTGTCTAAAGGTTGAATCTGAGTCAATTACACGCAAGTTGCTTAACACTTTTTCGCCATGTCTCACAGAGGTTTACATCTTGTGTGGCTTCTTCCATGTTTCATGAGGTCTGACCTCCGTATGAAACCTTTCCCACACTCGAAGCACTTGTGGGGTCTCTCTCCTGTATGGATTGCCTGATGATTAACAAGGTCTGACCTCTGTATGAAACCTTTCCCACAGTCCAAGCACTTGTGGGGTCTCTCTCCTGTATGGATTGCCTGATGTTTACTAAGTTTTGACCTCCGTATGAAACTTTTACCACAGTCCAAACACTTGTGCGGTCTTTCTCCTGTGTGGATTGCCTGATGTTTAACAAGGTCTGACTTCCGCCTGAAACTTTTTCCACAGTCTAAGCACTTATGGGATCTCTCTCCTGTGTGGATTGCCTGATGTTTAACAAGGTCTGACTTCCGCCTGAAACTTTTTCCACAGTCTAAGCACTTATGGGATCTCTCTCCTGTGTGGATTGACTGATGTTTAACAAGGTCTGACTTCCGTTTGAAACTTTTCCCACAGTCTAAGCACTTATGGGGTCTCTCTCCTGTGTGGCTTTTCTCATGTGAATTTAGTGCTGATTTTGACCCAAAACATTTCCTGCACTCAAGGCATTGAATGGGCTTCTCTACAGTGTGGCTTCTCCCATGGTTATTAACATCTGAGAGCTCATTGAAGCTTTCCTCACGGTCCAAGCATTGAAAGTGTTTCTTTCCAGTATGGATTGTCTGATGTGTCACAAGCTGTGATCTCACAATGAATCCTTTCCCACACTGCAGGCAGTGACAGGGTGTATCTTCCTTGGAATTTGTCTGCTGCGCTCTGGGGTCTTTGTCTCCTCCTCCACCATTAATAGATTCATCCACTTTCTTCCTTGGGTGGTTTCCCACAAGCCTCTCTGACCCGTGCCAATTTCCCCAGGCTTCTGCCTGCTCCAAGCACTGGGAAAAATTCCCTTCAGCTCTTCCCACAAAGGTCCACTGTGGTTGCACTTCTCCAGGAACTTCCTCATGATGATTCCCCTCCTCGTTCTCATTCCCTCGCTCAGCACCTGCTAGGAAAGAGAGACAATCCAGACAGGTGTCATTGTGCTGGGGAGAAAGAGGAATAGCACAGAGGGAAAACCCAACACAAAGTCTGAGCAATTGGATTCTGCCTCCACATCCCACCCAAACACTCAC